CTGACAAGGGCCACTTTTTAAATCATCCTAATATTGCTAAGAGCAATTATATTTTTCCAGTTATATTTATTTAAAATTGTTTGATCACTTGATGGTAAACGATAAACGAAAAGATTTTTTTAGCTAAACGAAATTCTAATATAAACTTTAGCAGCAGTGGCTAAAGTCTCTATGATGTTGTAAATCTGCTCAGCCCATCTCCGCCAAAATTTTTTTTAGAAATTTCAAATTTTCTTTTAAAATGTGATAACAGTTAAATATTCTAAAATTCTGAGAATATATGCAGAAAAGTAAGCATTTCCAATTCCATTCATACTTATTCCTTCATTATCTCTAATCGGCTTTATTTTTTGTAAAATATTACAGCTTCAAGATTTTAAGAGAATCGATCTTTGAAAACAGGGAAATAAGTTTATTTAATTATTTGAAAATAAAGAAGTTTAAGAGCATGCGCACAGATGTAATTACCAAGTACTATACGTCTGTCATGACTTTACACTACTCGTTCAATGACGTACGTATTGATGCAAAATAAACAACGAACATCGCTTGCATTGTATTTAATGCTGTTAACCACATTTCAAAAATGTGTCGTTATTGCGCGCATGTTGCTTGTGTCTTTGAAGAGAAAAAATATCAAATTTAATTTTCTCGTAACGTCTCAACACATATCATCGTGTTAATTTAACTCATAATTATCCGCGCCAATTTAAATTGCATGTTAATGTTGGTAAAAATGGGCAAACAGAAAACACGCTTTCTTGTCTAATTTTAACTCATGTAAAATTTTAGTGAATAAATGCTTACGGAAGTTTGTATGATCGTAGTATAGTCTATTTTAAGAATATGAATCGTCAATACCGATTTTGTCTTTAATGTAAGATTCTAAGGATCAATAAAACTTTATCAATGTAACTTTTACATGTATTATAATGAACAAGAAACCTATCAGGCGTCCACTCGAGCTACTCGATAGCGCAACGAAATTCACGTCAATGCATGTTGTAGTGTTGCAGTATAAAATATAAGTAAATCGTCTTTCATTATACGTGTCATTAGTGACGCTAAGGGGGAAAAGAATCCATTAAATAATTTGATTAGTTCAAGGACTTAGTGTCAGGCACGTGTAATTTATTGAATCTCGGTACAGTACAGAAATAATTAAAATTTAAACTCTGTCTTACCCTCGCTAGATTGAGCATTGATGACTAAGCTAATGCTAAGTACGTGGGGGTCTTTCACGGAGATTTATCAGACTGAAATGTTTTTGAAAGCGAGGTAAAGACACATTTATTACATTATTATTATTTGGTTTTGTTGAACAAAAATAACTATAGGTTTATGTAAATCATGTTACTTGTAATAAACCGTCGTTCCATCACATGAAAAATTGACTGGCAAGAACGTCTCTGAGTCATTCAAAGTACGCTTATTCACCGGAGTTGAGCCAACCATATAATAAAGTTTCTTTACGGATAGTTTTATCTAGGAAGATTATAAATCATATATGTTTCATCCTCACCGCAGTTATGGTGTACACCTGTGTCATTTGATTTAATAAAGATCTTTATTTTGTTTCAATAAGCATATTTCTTTGAATTTTTTTTCATTCCAACAAGAAAAGTTAACTTCCCATTAACTTTACTCTCCATTTCAAACTTCAACGAAAAAGTTTCTTGTTGTTTAAGATATTTAGAAAATCTTCTGCCATTAACTTACTAATACAAACGGCCCATTAAAATCCATGCACCACCCAGTGGTGACCAATATTGGGACATTGAATTGCTTCGGTGATATTTATGAGTTTGTTACTGTATGTGACTGGTAAAACTGTGTTCAGACCTCCCACTCCGGCACCAAGATCACCTAATTATTGTCTGTGCTGCATCAATATGGTAATCTGAAAGCCATACATTTAGATATAGAAGCACATCTTTCTGAGCATATGAAAACTTTATTCCTTGAATATCTACCCAACACTCCTCAGAATTTTGAATTTTCTCATTGTTGTTCAGTTTCATCTTTTTGGCTAGTTGCAAATAAGTCTTAACGAACAATGTCTCCTGCTTGATTAGACTATTACTTAAAAGAAATTTGAACTCATATCCTGCAAAATGTCCTCAATTATCACTTTTAATAAAGTTTAGTTTTCCTGTGGTTGCGATTTCAGCAAGAAATTCAATGAGCATCTCTTGACATCATATATTCGAACAAAAGAATATTTACCTACATAAAACCACTGTTGTTAATTATCTCATTTCACAACTAAATCTGGGCTAGAACTCGAAATGTCAAAACAAAACCGCAACGAAATGACAACATTGACACAATACAAAAATTACGAAATAATCCGATAGGACCTTCACAAATCAGCTCAAAAAATTAAACGAAACTCATTTTAATTCATTACATTCACTTGATTCTTTTCCTGTTCTTTTCCTATTTAATCTTGATTATCAGTAATTAATAGAGGTTTAGAAAGGCATTAAACTTGAAGAAATCTTTTCTTAATGTTAAGACATATCAAAATGTAGATCCAGGTGCTAAATGATGCTTCAATATTTTCAAATAATACATGTCTCAACGACATTTTGCAAAAAGATCAAAGTGATTTAATTACATGAAACATTCCACAAAAACAAAAAAAAATTATTCTGTGATGTTTTTCAGGGTAAATTACGCACAATTAAAGTTCTCTTTATTGCATATCCTTCGTGTTACTTTGAAACAGGGTGGAAACATTTGACATTTTAGTGCTTTTATCTCAAGTAACTTAAATATTAGGGTATAGTATTTTGAAAAATGAGGTAGAGAATACTTGATTACAAAAACATTTTATTTATTGTTTTTCTTCAAAATTTCTAAGATCCCATTTTGAACTTGTACGAAATTTTTATTATCAACAAAATCTGACATAAAGAAGCAAACTAATTGTAAGTGCTCTTCCTCGATGTAAGAGAGAATGAAAAAAAATGAAGAAAGAGTTATCACAAATCGACGCATTTTATCTTGTAACTTAATGTAGTATTAGTACGTTCATCAAAAATATTTTGGCGAAACAAACTTTGCACTTTGTTTTATTTGACTATTTTTTTAGCCTGTGTTCAGGCATATACCATCTAATTCAATATAGGCGGGATAACACTTCCAGGAAGTTATATAGCTATGTGTGTAACACACCGTTGTTGACGCTAGGTCGTTACTACTCAGCGAAATATTTGCCAGGCTACCAAGTGTAGTCGTTATAACACATTGAACTAAAATTAATGGAACGCTACTTAAAGCTAATAATTGAAGCCAAATGCCCAAATTTTACACCATACAAGCAAGATTTTACCCCTAGACACGTGTGGTTAAGTGTTTCGAGACTCTCGCTCGGAGTATAAATTGATTAACTTCACAAACGTATCTGGGGTAAAATCTCGCATTTCTAGGGTAAAATCACGGCTTCAAGAAATTATTAGGGTTTTGTTCAACAAGTGGCATTCTGTGTATTTTAGTTAAATGTTATAACACCATCTGCAATCATGTCACTATGTCGTTATGTTGTTGAGGTGTAAGGACCTAACAACAAAGATTACAAAGGTTTGATCGAATTATAAGTGTTCTTTCTAAAAAAAAGGGTAAAAAAAGTCGTTAAATAAAACGAAAATGTCTCACGTTTTTGATCTAGGAGTGTAAATGTACTCTATTGTAAACAAATTCTGTGAAAACCATTGACGTTTTAGCATTTCGTAAATATTTTGTCTAATAAAGCAAGGATGTTATTACAAATGAAGTAATTCATACACAAATTAATAAATAAAATATGTTTACTGCACGTGGTTGCACAGGCTTATGCAAACCGAGGAGACCTTTGGGAGAACTCGAGAGCAGATCAGTGCAAGCCTGAGACCGAATGTCGAGAGTTGCACATGCTCAAGAGTTTTTACCCCAGACACACTTGCATAAGCCAGCGCAAACACAAATAACATCTTTTAATTTTTTAAAAACTAACAATAATGCGAAAGGAAAAACCTTTATAATATTCTTTTAACGTGTAGTCATGATTAATTTGCGAATTCTCTTTGATTGATTGATTGATTTGATTGGTTGAGCTCAGATCGTTTTTCGCAGACTAATGAAAACACAGGTCTAAACCAATTAGCGCACGTGTTTCATTGTGTTTATTTTATAATAAGAAACAATGTCAAGCAAACGATACTTTAACGTTACATAACAGTATATTTTCTGAAATACCAAAACTTTCTGAGAGATATCGTACTGATCTGGTTATGATTCTTCACTGATATATGTCATGAGAAAGATTAACACTTCATTTTAGCTGTAGTCTGTACTAAGAAAAATTTTTAAAAAAATGAAATGTTTTCACTGATAATTTAAAATTTGCATTCATTTTACAATCATAAACATTTCAATTGAAGAAATGGTACTTTATGTTGTGCTGAATGTTTGATAAATCATACATGATTAGAAACATAATAATGCTTGAGTGCAATATCTGACGTCATTTTCTAGAAACGTCATCCACTTTCAGTGAGACAAAATGATTCTTAATACTTATTTCGATATCATATTCCAGACTTTTCTGATTCCCACAATGCATCAAATTATTGGTAAATCAGTCTACAGGATTAACAAGTCCCAACAGAAAAACTGAATGTCAAGATTTACAATAGATTGATTTTAAGATTTCTTTTAATTACAAAGTATGTCGAGGTTTGTCTCTCCTTTGGACACACATCATAAACAGATTTTATTAATTTTATTTTGATGCAATCGTGGTCATCTCTGGTTGGTGGGCAGTACAAGCGGCATGGTAGGTACCAATCACCAGCATTGTCTAGCGGAATCCACGCAATAACTTTATGTAATTTCAAAAGAAAATCTTACGGCTTGATTTGCCAATGGTTAAAGATAATGTAATTCAGTATATCATTTGATTTGTCAATAATATTTTATTCTTAACAGAAATAAAACTTCATCATTTTACATTTTTAATAGATTATGATAATATGTACATTTACTTTATATGATAATATGGTTGATTACAACTTGTTTACACGTAGTTTTGTATTACAGATACATTTCAACAGTGGATAAAATGTCAAACACACAGCATTTTCTACATAAGCTTTCAAATTTTCCACGACATATTTTACGAAAAGCATCTTCGATTAGAATTAGGTTTCTAGTGTATTTCTTTGACATGATTCCCCATCACTAGGATCTTTCATCATAGTCTACAAAATTTTATAAAATTTAATTCTCAGAAAAGTGATTTCCTGCTTTCAGTATATATGAAGGAATATAAGAAAACCCTATCTATGATGTGAACGGAAAAAGATTTCGCAAATTTTGGCCAGTTTCAAATTTTGTCCATAAATACTACTTGTGTTTGCCAAGTCTTACCATAATCATATTAAAACAGTTTCATCCATTGTCATAATCATAGCATTGTTCCTTGGTAGCAATAGAAAGTTGAAGCACGTAATTTTTTGCAATGAAACGTAAAAGAACAATACAATACACTACAAAAAATTAATGCATCAACTGTCTTCCTGTGTGCAAGAAGTAGTATGCATGGAGCATGATAATACAAGCAATGTTCAAAGAGAACACCAATCTGGTAAAGAATCATTTGCAAATGGGCAGTATGATTCAATAATGCAGGATGTAACAGATACCAATGAGAACATACACATCATTCATGAATACATAAAACTGTGTGCATTATACTCAGATTCTCCCACAGCTGCTGCAATATGGCTGTGCTTTTCACATACTGAAAGGGAAGTATCAAACAAACACAAAGCAAATGCATTTTGAAAACATGTAAATGCCCCATCCTTATGTTTTCAATGAATTAATGGATGGTGAGCATAATATTCTGCATTCTGAAAAAATTCAATGCTGGTAAGTCAACATAGATAGAGTGATAAACTTTCATCACCTACCATTGAAATGGAGCATGCATTCTAAACACAGTTCCCATCAGCCAGTGTTTTAAACATAAAGAAGTATTTGCATTATTCAAAGAAAGAAAGGGATAAATACCAAACTTACATTTACCTTCAATCTACATAAAAATGATAAGAGTACGCAGTGTATATTATAAACACATATTTTGATAAATTAGAGAAAAGATCATGAATAAGGTGTTTTTAGTGGAGCTGCTTGATGATGTTGTGTAAAACAGTTGGTAGATTTCCTGCACAAGTAAATCTAAACTATACAGGTAGTGTATAGTTTAGATTTACTATAGTTTAGTTTAGAGTGTCTAAACTATACAGGTAGTAAATTATAGCACTTTGATGTCACATGAAAACATAGTGAAACCATATGTATAAACTAACACATATTACTAACACATATTTCATAACATCTATAATCATAAATAATGTTACTTTATTGGTACACGATTTCCTTTGTAAGGTTAATGGTTAAGTTTTTTAGGTATATCATAGTTTGAAAACACTGTAAAACACACAGTTAATCAATTCATCGTGCATTATTCAATTTTTTGCCAGACCAAGAAATGCATAATATAGTTAGTTAGAATCATGAATATACTATCATCATGTATCCCAGCCTAAAACAATAGAAGACTCATAAATATTTTAACATGAAATAATTAAGAAAAGTAGCCTTTGATTTTGATCGTCCTCTCTGACTCTTAGGAAACTGTAGTTTTCAAATTTCGCACGGTTGCACTGTTATCTGTTAACAATCCCCTACACGATTTCGTCTCTCAGAAATAGCTTTTTCGCATTGTTCTCGAAGCAATATTAATTCACTAGTGAAGTGATATCCTTCGAGTTATAATGCTAAAAAAGGTCGATGACTTTCGATAAAACAATGGAATCCATGTTTTTAACCGGAATTGTCAAGAATATTGTCCGAATATAAACTGACAACACGCACGGCACGCGTAAGTGGATATTAGGATTAAGTAATTTTTAATTCAGTCGAATTACTCTGAAATTGCGCAATAAATATTGCGCAGCCGTGGCCAACTGTGATCTGCCACAATCAGGTGATCAAAATTGTGAGCTTTAATTGGTTAGACACCCTTTAGAATAAAGTCACTGTGCCAAAAATTCCGAAATTGGCAAGAAAGCGCTCACTGACCATGTCCAATGGTAAAATTTGCGGCGCCTTTTTAATCGTAACAGCAAAACTGGACTCCGAACAGCAATCGAGTTACGTTTTGTAGGATAATCGGATTACATTAGGCAAATCGAAACGGCGGAATAATACGATGATTTATAAAATCTGTCGCTTAAATGCAAATTTCGAGTACGTCAACAATGCAGTTCATGTGTTTTTTTCAGTGTTTTTGGTTAAAAATAGACTCAATAAACTGAAGAAACTAAGAAAATGTATGTTTTAAGTCTGAATTTAAAGAATTTTTGTCGAATTCTGACCGTCCAGTGCCACATTTGATACCCCATGGATCCGCCCCTGTATAATACGTATTTACCGGCTGTGAGGTCCGTATACGGAAAAAATATTTTCACCAGTTCTGCAACTTAATGTTGAGACTAAAATTGGATGCTTTTTAGCAAACTTCGCTTTGTCTGGACAGTAAAATGCATTCTTGCAACGACATCTTTCATCTGAATACACCTTGCTTACTCGTTAAACAATTTAGATCGCTTTCAAATCAATTTTATAAAATTTGCATTTCACTTCGTAAACAAATACTTTGCGAAAAAATATGTTGCGACTAACATTGGATTTTCTACAAACTTTGCTTCGTCTGGATAGTAAAATTCACTCTGGCTATGATAAATTTTATCTTAAGACATTCTGCCTACTCGTTCAACAATTTACATCTCTTTTAAATCAATTTTAAAAATTTACATTTCAATTCGCAAGCAAAAACATTGCAAAAAAATACCATTTGTGTCCACGGGCAGATATGCGTAAAAAGCTACCCGCTCGCGCAGCAAATCAAATTCCTGGAAATCAAAAAAATATCGCTTTGACAGCTAAAAAAATAAATGTATATTATTTACCGGAGCTTTGAGACCTCGTGAAAATATTTTTTCCGTAAGGACCGACCTAAACGGTAATTAACATAAAGTTATTATACCACACAAGCTTCTGATATTTGAAAGAAGTACAAATTACTTCTTCAAAAGTAAAATTCACTTTGTTATGATGACTTTCATCTGAATACACTGTGCTTTATCGCTGAACAATTTACATCGCTTTTAAATCAATTTTAGAACTTTAAATTTTTATTTGTAACTAACTTATTGCTAAAAAATATCTCTTTTGGATCATAATTAAGATATCGTAAAAAGATGCCCACTGCTTCAGCCAATCAGATTGCGAGAAATCAGAAATATCGCTTCGTTTGCATAAATGAAAAAATGAATTGAAATATTTTCGTGAAATTTAGAAAAATTCTATGAGGTTCTCACACATCATAAGGTAAAATTTAAGTTCACCATTGTATAACCTGTATTATTTTAAGTAAAATTACCAATGTTCACAATTAAACATTATTCTGAAAAAAATACAAAGAAAATTTTACGATGAAGTTCAGAACTTCAACATGCTTTATTCGCCGATAAGATGTAGCCATGGCTATCTCTCAGTAGACTAATTAAATTCGTCGCTTCAGTCTTTTTCTATATTTTGCAGGAATCTCTTATAGGTTTTGATAGTAAAACATTTTGTCATAGAGCATTTATAAAAACTTACAAGAGGAAGTGTACAATAACGATCAATAACAACGATCTCATATAAATCTTCTGCCACAATCAGGATACCATGTTCTTCTTCTGCAATAGTATGAGCCTGGGGTATTATAGCATAAGTAACAAACTCCACAAGGAGAATGAGAGCATTCGTTTTCATCTATAATAATAAAAAGTCAAAAAAGCTGTAATAACTTGAAATAAACAGCAAGACAAATGCCTGCTTTTTAAAGTCTTACCCCTAACCACACACACAGAATGAAATTTTAAAATCTCCTCGCAAATTTTCATGGGGTAGCTATAATTTGAAATATTTTGGAAAAAAACATGACATTGTTGAATACATTAAATTGCCATTACTTGGCAGGAGCGAGATTTCTGTGTTGCAATCATTGAGTATGAGTATGATTGAAGTTTTAGAATACGGGCAAAATTCAGTAAATTCACGCAAAAATACTCATTCATCATATATCATACACCATTTGTATCATATATGAAACATATTACCTTGTATACATCAAAAATGTTGAGACTACTATTACAAAAAAATTCTTAAAATCACTTGACCAACATTTTTTCATGTCAGGGTCAGGCAGACTTTATAATGTTTTTGTAAATTCCACTGACGGGTTGCTAATATAATCAAAACTAATATTACGCTTGACAATATTGTTTCCGTTATATTGATTTCAAACTGATTGCCTACTTGATGGTACTTGATAAACTAAAAGATTTTTATATTAAACGGAAGTCTCAGGGAGGTAGTAGATCAGAGATGATCTCCCCAACAGATGATATTTGTCAGAAATTTTAAAGTTATAAGGAAATGTAACAAAAACTAATTATTCTTAAATTCAGGGAAAAATGCTGCAATAAGAGTAATTCAATTGAGAATTCAATACAAAACCTACTATATCTCCAATCTACTTTTTCTTTATGTGCTTGCTGTTGTCATTGTTGATTGATTGATAAACTTTATTTAAACTCATTAATAAGCCTTTTTAGCAATAGCTACATGAAAAATGGCAATTGCACTTTTGCACTACACATAACTTTTTGACCATATGTGTTAACTCAAATGACAGATAACATATTTTAGACCAAGAACCTAAGAATATTATAAACAATGACGTGGCCTTTAGTTAGGAAATAAAAGTTGTTTAATGTATTTGCACAGGCTTATGCCATACCCAAGGAGACTTTTGGAAGTTAGAGCTTGAGAGCTGATCAAGAATTTGAAATTTCTCACAAAACGTCTCTAAGGTTTGCATAAGCCGGTGCAAACACGAAAAAATCATTTATTTCTTTCATAAAGCAAAAATAAAGTGAAACAGACAAATTGAAAACAGACATTTCAACTTTACCCCTAAAATGTATTTATGATCGATTTGTAATTTGATTGATTTGATTGGTTGAATTCATATCTGTTTTGCACATACTAATGAAAACTTAGCTATTGACCAATCAGAACCACATTTCACTGTCTTTACTTATAAATTGATTTCTAATTAAGTGAATGCCAACTTTATGTT